ATATAAATAACCTTCTTATATGGTAATGTGCGGTTTATTGCAGCAACCCACTGTGAAAATGTAGGCAGTAATGCCTGCAGCCACGAGCGAGCAAGCAATAATCTGGCCACAAACAAAGTCTCTTGTAAAAAAAAGGGTATGAAATTTTGGTTTCCAAACTAAGGAAAAGACCAAGTAAACATTGCTTAGGACATAGGGTAAGGGGAGAGCCCATTTTGTCATGCAGAAACCAGACCACCTGAATCCAATAGCCCTGAATGAGGGAACAAGACCACATAAAATTAAAAAAAGTACTATCAGAGGCCTCGCATTTAGGACAAAGTGGACTATAATGTGGTCTGTATTTAGATAACCAGATAGGTGTTAGATAGGTTCTATGTATATGTAGCTGAGTGAGGCGTCCCACAATTTCAGGGAAACCAGCTTGTTTGAGGACAACACCTCCTCCCACATATCATCATCCAGCTCCGCCACATCCACCTCCCAACGATTTTTAAGTCGATATGCTAATATCGATGCAGAGGGTAAAATGAGAGCATTATAAAATGTGCGTGCAAGTTTTTTGGACTCCCTACCCAAAATCCATAAGAGATGTAGAGTCCAGCTGCAAGACAGATTCACCAAATGGGGCGCGCAGTGCATGGGGAAGCTTGAGCTAAAGAAAGAGCATGAAATTAGGGAGGTTAAATTCCACTTTGAGGTCCTGGAAGGGTTTAATACCAGCGCTGGAGAACACCTGGGAAACATACAAAATCCCTCTATTGATCCATAAATGAAAATCTGGAAGAGTGAGCAACTCAGGGAGGCTTGGGTTATCCCATAAGGGGGTATGGGTGTGTATGTGTGGGATTTGTAATTTACTGGAGGCCAACGACCAGTAAACGACAAGTGGTGGTACAATAATCCCCTGCAGCCGCACATAATTGAGGGATCTCGCATGCCCTTCAATAACAGTGGAAAGGGGATAACGGCCCAAGAGAAGGCCGGAGCACACACCAAGGCCAGATACCTGTCCCTACCCCCCTTGTCCAAATGGAAAAAGTGAGACAATTGGGCTGCTAAGTAATAAGGGATCAGATCTGGACGTGCCGCACCCCCCAGGTGCGTGGGATTTTTAAGAGCACGCCATTACAATTTATGTCTCAGAGAGGGAGGGGTGGAAAGGGGGGGGGGGGGGGGGGGGAAGGGAAGGGGGAGAAGAAGGGAAGGGAAAGAAGGGGGGCAAGGGGGCTAAGGAGGGGGAAAGAGAGGGGGAAATATAGAGAGAAAAGTATACATAGAAAGAAACAAGATGAGAAATTAAAAGGAAAAAGGGAGTATAGAAGGAAGAAACAGAGCAGTTAAAGAAACCACTAGACATCTAGACAGGAGGGGCCCAAGACTCACAGGTAGGACAAAATGAAAGGAATTAGGAGCTGAAACCGAGAAATACAATTTAAAAAAAAGGGGAGGGGGAGAAGAGTGAAAAGAGAAAATTGCGAATGTCAGGAGAGGGGAAATCAGCAAAAAAATATGGATAGTAGAGGGAATCAAAGTAACGGACAGGTGCAGCGTGATACACTCAAGGATCCCCGGAGTGGGGAGAAATGAAGCAAAATGCCATTAGATGTCCCAAGAAATCAGGCCGGTGCAGGGCCCGGTGCTGTTTGTTGATCCAGCCAGGACAGTACCTGATTCCAGGTCTTCGAAAAAGTGAACCTTGTCATCACCCACAACTCGGGAGTCAGGCAGGAAAGAGCATAGCATAGGAAACATGATGAATCCGAAGTTGGTGCTTGGCCTCCACAAACTGCGCATGGCGTTTTTACATCTCAGCCGAGAAGCTAGGAAAAAAACGCAATCCTGATATTCTGAAAAGGGATGCTTCCCTTCTCCCTGGTGAGGCGAAGGATAGTGTCCCGATCACAATAGTTCAGGAATTTGGCAATAAACGTGTGGCAGTGAACCTTTTGGTGGAGGCCTAGAGGCCAGGCGATGGGCACGCTCCACCACGAAGGTAGAGGAAAGCGCCTCCCTGCCATAGGTATTAGCAAGTAACGACTCCAAGAAAGCAGCCAGATCCCATCCCTCCACACCCTCGGGTAGACCAACGAATCAGAGGTTGTACCTTCGAAGTCTGTTTTCCATGTCGTCTTGCTTCTGCAGCACTGTATGAAGCTGGTGTTGCAGGCGTTCAGTGGTAACCTGTAATGGCGGCAAATCATCCTCCACGTGACTAAGATGTGCTTCCGCCTCCGTGACCCGCTCCCGGGCTTTTGTGAATCTTGCTGAATAAGTGAGATGTCAATCTTTACCTCTTAAATTTTACAGGTTAGGGTGCTCTGGCAGGTGGAAATCGCCTCTAATACCTTATTAGTGTCAGATTTTGCAGGTTCCCCCACAGCGGAGACAACGGCGCCACCTTCCCCCACAATGTCTTTCTCCTTATGACAAAACTGGTCAAGTTTGCCGCCAGAGCCAGCAACTTTTTTCAGCGGTGACATGGCACAGGAGGACAGAAGAGAGATTAGCAGGCGTACCAAGTGTGGGTGCAAGCACGATATCATGCAGGATCAGCAGAAACGGATGAGTCTCAGACGAAGCTCCCAGAAATACACCCTATGCCATGCTGCTCCAGGCCACGCCCCCCTTCCTGGTTTACCTTTATTTTAAACAGTTCACTTGGGCCAAGCTGGCCCAAACTATTTCCTTTACCAATAGATGCATCCGCTGTAAGCACTGTATAAATTGTATGTAGCAGAGAGGTGGGTGGAAGATGTCACCATTCCCACCTCAGCCAATCAGAGGAAGCCTTACATTTGTTGATAAAAACAAGGCTTCCTTGTGAATGACTCAATTTTGTTCTGGCAGCAGATGGTAAATTCCCATATTGCTGCTGGAACACAGTGCTACATAGAGTATATATAGCACCAATGGCAGAGGCATCTGTTGATAAAAGAAATAGTTCCTCTGGTCCAGCATGACCCAAACAAACTATTTAAAGTAAAAGTAAACCTGGGATAGTATTTTTTTATCTACAATGGCAAATTAATATAGGCTAAAAGCAGTTTAAAAATAAAAAAAGATTATGGGAAAAACGTTTGGTGGCTTTTCTGTTTATGTGGTGTGTGTTTTCTTGTAGGTAAAGCTATAAACTAGATGTTGTTTTTTGGCCACTAATGATTACTATGGACTCCCAATGACTTAAAGCAGAACTCTGAGCATTAGGACCCCCAACCACCTCACCTCTCCAAAGAGAGAGATTCCAGCACTCACCCGCCGGCCACCCTAGGAGCCATGATCAGGAAAGCCCGACGTCTCCCTTCTGCGCTGATCTCTGACAATGATCTGGGAATGAGTCGGACAACCTTCAGAAGCCTGCACTGCTGTACCCATCTCTGACAATGATCCAAGAACGAGAGTCAGACACCCTTCAGCAGCCCGCATTGCTGTGCCTGTGCCTCACCTGCTCCCCATCCAATGCATGTATTTTCTGGCGGGGGCGGCCCTGTGCCCCCCTGAAAATTACCGCCCAAGGCAAATGCCTTGCTTGCCTTATGGTAAATAGGCCCCTGTCATGGGACCCAGAAGCTGGTGGCAATCACTATAACAGCAGTGCCTATTACAGTGATTTCCAGCTTCTATGGGGATCTTACAGGTATGACACAAATATTTTATATTGGCCCAAGCTAAACCAATGTAACTAGGCATATTAAAAGGCATACCTGGAACTCAGCTTGTTTGCAATATGCAATTAGTGCTGTCAGGATTCAGGTAGATTCAGTTCTAAATATTATTTGCTCTCTAATTACAGAGAAAAGATAAGAGTTAAAAGGCTATATTAGTGATTTCTAGAGAATTTCTGATTTAAAATCAAAACCTTGGTTTTAGACTGGGATTGTTCTTTAACCACCTGGCATTGATAAGGCATTGATGGGCGCAAGGTGGTTCTCTCGTTCTGGGAGGACATCACACGACGTCCTCCCATTCTAAGTGCGCAGCGCGGCGATTGGCAGTGCGCTGTGTCCCTCGGACACAGCGGGATCACCGATCAATGGAAAGAGCCGAAGATTTCGGCTCGGTCATGTGATTAGCTGTGTCCAATCACAGCTGATCTCATGTAAATAGGGAAATGCCGGTTATCGGCATTTCTCTCCTCACGAGTTGTCACGCTGACAGCTCGAGAGGAGAGCCGGTAATCAGCATTCCTCGGAGGGGACATGTACACTGATCATCAGGGCACTGATGATCAGTGTGTCCTGATGATCAGTGTAGCCCCAGCAGTGCCACCTGTCAGTGTCCATCAATGCCAGCTGTCAGTGCTCATCAGTGCTACCTGCCAGTGCCCGTCAGTGCCACATCAATTCCACATATCAGTGCCTACTAGTGCACATCAATGCCACCTATCAGTGCTTATCTGAGCTGCCTTTTCAGTGTCACCTATCAGTGCCACCTATCAATGCCAGTCAGTGCCACCTATCAGTGCCAGTGAGTGCCGACTATCAGTGCCCATCAGTGCTACCTATTAGTGCCACCTAACAGTGCCAGTCAGTGCCACCTATCATTGCCATATAGGAGTGCTGCCTTTCAGTGCCCATCAGTGATGCCTGGCAATGCCCATCAGTGCCACCTACCCGTGCCTCATCAGTGCCACCTATCAGTGTCCATCACTGCAGCCTCATTAGCGCATATCAGTGAAGGAGAAAAATCACTTATTTACAAAATTTTAAAACAAAAACTAAGAAAAAACTTTTTTTTTTCAAAATTTTCAGTTGTTTTTGGTTTGTTTAGCAAACAATAAAAAAAACCCACAGGTGATTAAATACCACCAAAAGAAATCTCTATCTTTCTCAAAAGAATGATAAAAATGTCATATGGGTACAGTGTTGCATGCCCGCACAATTGTCATTCAAGGTGCGACAGCACTGAAAGCTGAAAATTGGCCTGGGCAGGAAGGGGGTATAAGTTCCCAGTAGGCTAGTGGTTAAAGACTACTAGAAAAAATATAAAACACTACTTACCTCTGCTCCTAAACTCAAAGACGCAATCTCATCTTTCAAACGCTGAATGAGTATCGATGTGTGGGGGAATGCCTGGGAAACAGTGGGAACACATTAGTATTTTTTCACTGCTGGATGAAAAAAAAAACAAAATAACACTTGAAGACGATAAATTTATTTATTCTTTCAAAAAAAAATACACGTTAACACATACCCTCCCTTTTTCTAATCAATGTAATCATTTCTACAGCAAAGACTTAGCAAATAATCAAAGAACTAAAAAGCACTGAATTAATCAGTCCTTGCTCCTGATGGATTTTTCTGCCTAATGTAATTACACCAATCACACACACTCCACAACAAACTCAGTCAGAAGTCAGTTAAACTGGAAAGCACTAGGAGAAAACCCAGAATGACACATACAAAAACAATCTGCATGTAGATGGTGTCTCTAGTGGTATTTCAATACAGGACCCCAATGCTGGGAGTCCACAGAGGTGACCATGGAACTGCTTCGCCAACTGTTCCTTTCTCTGCAGTGCTGATAAGGCTGGCACCAATTGCTTTCATATGGGAAATGTTTGGGCAAAAGAAGGAGTTCATTATGGACAGATGGAAGTTTTTCTTTCTATACTGTACCCTTTCTGACCATACCTGTTTATTTGGTGCTTATTAGCTGACAAAGCAAAACATCTTACTGATGTGATCATAGTAAAAATATATTTTTGCTTGTTGTGTATTTAGCACGTTAACCTTTGTCTGCTAAGCATGCCACCCTTGGCACTAACGTAAGGCCTCATGCATACTGGATGTTTTTAACACTGCTGTTAGGGGCATCTGGCGGTTTTTGTTTTTTTTTGCTTCTAAATGCCCTTGCATGTTAGCCTATGTGTCCATGCACACATAGGTATTTAGAGGAGTTTACAGGCAGGAAGTTGAGGCTGAAAAAAAAAAAAAAAAAAACAAAAAAAAAAACACCTCCAGAGTGTCTAAGAGCAACAGCATTTTGGGATTTAGCAACTGAGAGTTAATTCATTTCAATGACAGAATAAATTATTATTCTGGCCAATTAAATGAACATCCAAGTGCTTGCTGTGCCTAAATGTGATAAAAGCTACAAGTGTTTTTCTGCCAAAATGCTGCTGCCAGGAGAAAAGGCACCTAGGAGAGATGGGCAAATATCCACTGTGCATGAGGTCTAAAGTAAATGCAAACCCTAACAATCTAACAGAACCAACCATCTTGTCAGAAATTCTGAGCTGTCTTTTGCATACTTCCTATAATATCTTAAAGAGCCTTCCTAGCACTTGAGCACCAGAATGATTGCCTTTTGTTTTGTAGAGATCTGACAGCAGTAGAGAAGTTTAGCAAAAGACAACGGGGCAGAGATGACACCACACAGTCCACAAAAATGTTGTGCTATCACCCTAAACAAGACTTACAGGAGATGTACTGCATGGCTTTTTTTTTACATTTACCTTGACATACATTTCAACATATACCCCTTATAGTGATATGGTGCTTTTGTGTCTTCATCAGAAAATTATTCTCACTGGCTCACCTTGTCCTGGCTCATACTGGTTCACTGTTAGTTGGTCAGGCTTGTGTTTTATAAGCCCTTGTTGGAGGCATTTGTCCAGTAAAGCATTACAGGACTCTGGGAGACCTGTGAATACAGAAACATTATTACACACACTATGGATATATTGTGGATGATTACAAATAAAAAAAAATGAAATATACAGCAGCCTGAGACAATATATCTGTATTTTTGAAGGATAGTCACTACTTTTAAAATATAACACAAAATTGAACACGTTTGATGAACGATGATGTCACTCCTACTGTAAAACATGCTCCTCTGTCATTTTCACAGCAGAACGGAGATTGGGAGGCAATACACTTCTGGATGGAAGGAGGGAGGCACAGCAGCACTGGACTAGCTGGTGGCTGGTTGCTAAGACAGCCCTACATCCAAGCAACCAATCACCTGCTGGTTAACTTGAAAAGTTCACTTTGGCAGCTTCCGCTACCGCCTCGTCCTGTGCTGCTGTGCCTCCTGCCCTCCGTCCAAAACTGTGTGAAAGTCTCTGCGTCCTCTTAGCTGTTTGCTCGCTGTGTCCAGACATGCAACATTGGAAGTAGTGGATATCCGGCTGTTAGATTTTAGCAGAGTGGATCGTGGGCTTACAATCTAAGGTTCCCAACTCACATTCATACATGCACACACATACTAGAGTACCTGGAAAGGAGACGTAGTGCTCTGTGTTTAGTACATGGTGAGATATTGTACAGACTGTGGCAATAACAGAGAAGTGGGTAACTTGTGTATGGTGTGGCCAATGGAAGAGAGGCCAGCGTCCCCCATGTACAGCAAGGAGCTTCCTGTACAGGAAAGGTTGTATAATAATATCATGGCTCAAAATTTCAAGTCCTGAGCTGGGGGGCAGCATGACAGGAGAGGGGGAAAGCGGGTTAGGAGGGGGGCAGCAGGACAGGTGGGGGGGCAGTGTCACAGGAAGGGGGGGGCAACGTGACAGGTGGGGGCAGCATCACAGGAGTGGGGCAGTGGGCTAGATGGTGGGCAGCGGGATAGGTGAGGGGCAGTGTCACAGGAGGACACAGCAGGATAGGTGGTGGGTAGCGTCACGGGGGGGGGGGGGGGGGGGGGGGGAGGGACAGTGGGACAAATGGGGGGCAGCGTCACAGGAGGGGAGCAGTGGAATAGATGGAGCGCAGCGTCACAGGAGGGCAGAAGTGGGATAGATGGGGCGCAGCATCACAGGAGAGGGGCAGTGGGATAGATGGGGCACAGCATCACAGGAGGGGGGCAGTGGGATAGATAGGGGGGCAGTGGGATAGACAGGGGGCAGCATCACAGGAGGGGGCAGTGGGACAACTCTCACCTGTCCAGCAATGTCAGTGGAGAGGATCTTATGGTAGAAGGGGTAGCTGAGCTGGCACCTGGTTGTTGTGGTCAATGGCGGGTGAGTGCCGTGCTGCAAGTGGGGCTGTCCGCTGTCACACAGGTGGCAGGACTTGATGACCCCAGTGACTCCGGTCCACCGGTGGGGAGCGCCACTGCAGTTGAAGGCGGCATTGACGAGTTCCAGCATGTGGTTGGCCGTCCTCCAAGCCCTCCGGCGGTCAGCCATGTCCTCCACTCCATGGGCTCTCCAGGAGTGGGGGGTAGCTGTGTGGTGGGGGGCGTGCCTGCAGTCCTCCGTGGGTCTGTGCAGGACTCTTCTGCTCTGCCTGGACTATGCACGGGGAGGGATGAGGGAGAATCCGGAGGTCTTGAAACATTGGGTTGGACTGCACACTCGCCCCTACGTTATTTACTCGCCAAATGCCAGCAGGCGAGTGGAAAATTTGAGGCCTGATAATATTATAGTGTGCCTGTGCTTCATAGGAGCACACAACCATAGGGTCACTACTTTTAAAGTATAACTAACATACAACCAAAGGCAAAGCAATATTTTTTTTTTTTTTTTTTTTTTTTTTTTAACAGAGTGGAGGGGGATTAGAACATCTGTCAGATGTTTATTGCTGTATGTGTCCCCGTTTCACCTTCCTTATTTGTTTTGTTTACCATTCTCATTGAGAGTGAAAGTGAAAGAAAATCACAAACTTTGGTTTGTCACCGAAACAGAAATTAAGGAGGAATTTTCCAAGAGATGCTAGCTGGTGAAAACTAAGGGTTCCCTCCCACTTCCTGTTGTGCCCTGGCATATACTATTTGTGTGCAACCTGTGCAGCTGCACAAGATCTCTCTAGGACCCATTTTTACTAGACATGAGTCAGTCATTGCTGAAATCCCCCCCCCCCCCCCCCCCCCCCCCCCCCCCCCCCCCCCCACTGTCAAATAGACCTGAAAACATCTCAGATCTAGGGCAGGTGAAAAGTGGAAGAATAATTTTTTTGAGATTAGTGTTGTTCTGGTTTGTAATATCCAGATGGTATCAGTTAGTGAGCACCTCCTTCGCTTGCTGCCTTACTGGAATTGAGGAATACAAAACGATCCTCCCAATTGCCCTGGACACCCTTTCGACTGCAAGTAAAGGAGGGAGTTCATTGTTTGATCTTTGGATTTTAGATTATCACAATGGATACTGGTAGTTGAATACGGGTTCCAAAATCTGATCTTGACCAGGATCCCTGGCAATCATGTCCTCCATTGTATGCTACTATCTTTCCTAATTTCTGTGAACCTTTTGATCCTGATTTAATTTTGTTTCTATGGGCTCTACATCCAAGGAAAGTGTCACCTACCTGCTATACCCCTCTCACTTGTATTCCATGAACAACCCCCGTGGGCTGCAACCCATAAGCTACATTTAACATTTTTGCGCAAATAACATTTTTACAGATCACTAAGTTTCTAGTAACTCAGTGGTGTTGAAATATCCTAAGTAGAACCAAGGCCACAATGAAAGGCTAATAAGGCACTGAATTGTACTTAGCATAAGCAGTTCCCTGACTGCGCCTGTAATAGGTGCTTGGAGCTCATCATTATTGTTAAACACCACCACAGCTTTTCTTTTAGCTATAATGACTTTCTATCCTGGTGGAATTTAAGTCAACAGGTTTCACTCCTTGCCAGTTATACACACAAAGGTCACATTTTAAGACTTACCACCAGGTAAAGGCTTGTCCTTGTCTATGTTATTATTATCATATCGGAACTCGTATCCAAAATGCTTCACTCGCCTGTGTTTTAATGCCTTCTGGTCTGCAATTATAAATTATTCTTTAAAGCACTTTTCAACAAATTATTGACAAAAAACAAATCTCTCAATACTTGCTCTGTATTTACATTAGAAGGCTTCCAAGTCACTGCTGGAATGAGGAGCAGAGCTGGTGGGAGAAAGGCTAGAACAGACAAAGTAGAACTATAGCAAAACAATTTTTTTTTTAAATTGTATAACTTGCATACTTACTGCAGTTATCCGACTCCCAGTGAATGCTTTCCAGCAACGTCAGTTCTTCTTCGGGAGAGACAAAATCTTCTACAATGATCAAGCCAGAAGGTAAGGGTGGAGGGGACGTCGCTTGTACACCAACTGTAAATTTAAAGTGAAAGCACCATGTTTTGGTCAGTTTCATGTTAAAGTTTCTCAATTTTTACATTGATGTTTGACATCAAGTTTTTATTTGTACTCAACTTGTATGTTTACTAATAAACAGTTATTACAGAGGGCAACCAAGGTGGAGGCCAAATGTGTAAATGCTGTACTTTTGGAGGACATACTGTATAAAGCCAGTGTGGTGTAAACTAAAATTATTGCAGGACAGTTGAAGAGTGTGATCATTTGTATCTACTAATATCTTAAATTGCAGTAGAAAACAAAATATACATTTATGATGCAGTCTAAAGCAGTCAAGCCTCAGTAAAGCACAGGGGCTTCTTGTGCAGGAAAAATTGATCTGGGAAGCAAAAACAAACTTTTACTTTTACTCCCCAGATATATTTTGGTTAAATATATCTGCGTTTACATTCCTTTAGCTGCATAAAACCACGGTAAACAGACTGAAAACACATAGTTCTTGTTTGTTTAAACACAGCTAGACTGAATGAACCTAGACACTGCTAAACATCTAAGAGTGCATTCAGCCATAGCAGTGCATTACACACTTTCAGATGAGTTTAGTAATTAGCTCCTAACGCATCTGGATGCATGTTATTTTGATGTCTGTGTGCATGGGGCCTAAAGCAGAATTTACTGTATATCTTACTAACCAAATTCCCCTGCTATAAGAGTCGTCACTTTCGTTGTCACGGTAGCTAAATGGACTACAGTGGTGAGTAAAGGTGTAGGGATCGGGCAATGGCTTCACTAATAACCCACCTCTGCCCTGCCTGTTAGGGCCTAACCACATCCGCCTTTTACCACAGTCTGCATGACTATCAAACAAGCTTTCTTGAATCCCATCAACCTGCAGTGCTGACGCCAAATGTAGTTTTTAGCAGCAACTTGCATGTCCCATGGAAATAAAATGCTACTTAATCCTGTCAATTAGTGGCCAGCATACTGACAGTCCCTGGAATTCATAAAGAGTGCCATAGAGTCTCATTAGAAATCTGTTTCCCATCTGCAACAAATGGTGCAACTTACCGTCAGATTTATGTAACTGTCACTAAGATCCATATGAATCGATTATATGAATCTGCTGCAGAATTGCCATGGAAAGAGTTTTGTCAAGAACAATACTCACATGTGCAATGAAATTTACACCCATAAAGAAGAGGACTTATTTACCATTACTTTCCCCATCACCATTATGGTGACATTTCTTAATTCATTTGTTGCACCAGAAAGTAAAAGTGTTGCACATAAGAACTATCTGAATTTGTTACATATGTAAGAAATAACAAAGAAAACTGTTGTACTGCTTTCATGAATTTGGTGTAGGACTTTCTAATATGACCATAACGCTAGAAAAGTGGTGTAAATGCTTTGTTAAAAATTTCCCCACTGTGTTAAAGTTAAAAAGATGTTCATCTGGAGATGCCCAGCTAAAAACACTGAAAATACTAACAACATGCAGAGCTGTTCACAACTCTGCTCCAAGCTACATCACTAATCTTGTCTCAAAATATCTCCCAAACCTCCTTCTCCACTCCTCCCAAGACCTACTGCTCTCTAGCTCCCTTGTCACTATCTCCCATGCTTACATCCAAGACTTCACCAGAGCCTCTCCCATCCTCTGGGACTCTCTACCCCAATCTGTTTAGCTATCTCCTACTCTGCCAACCTTTAGGTGATCCCTGAAAACCCATGTCTTCAGAAAAAAATCTATCCCACTTCCACCTAAAAAGTGAGCTTCTTTACAACCTATTAACTCACCACTACAAATTTATTACCTCAAGACTTAGAAGCTCACTGAATTTCTGGTAGATAAACAGATGTTTTTCTGTACTTCCAGCATTTTGAAAGATATATGTTTTTGCCTAGATACACACTTTAATGGTAGAAGTATGATAGAAGAATATTAGGGTGTACAGCAATAACATTCCTTATCTGCTTTGCTGTGAAGCTTAGCTGAAATCATTTTAGAACTGATGTTCTTTTTTCTATGAAGGGCAAAAAAAAAACAAGAGGAAAAAAACTGCAGGCTGTCTGTTTAGGTGTAAAGTGAATTCTTGAAACCACTTATAAACAGAATCAATAGCTATGCTCTTAGGTCCTATAATTCTGCTGCACTAGTCCTAAAAAGCTTGCTTCTGTTCTAAATTAGAGAATGAAAGAAAAGATCCCAGCATGAGCCTTCATCTAGCTCTGCACAGCGCTGTTCAATGAAAGCAATCCAATCTATCAGAGACTCCACTTAAGAGGAGATAACTGGAGGAAAGCAATACCTGTATCAACAAAACTCAAGTACAGAGTTATTTTCTGTTCCCAGTCACTAGATGGGAGCTCTTGACCACTGAGTGATGTATGAGCATTTATGGCCTCTTCAGTGGATGAATATGTGACAAATGAATAGGGCTTGTTCGGAGGCATTATTAGAGATTCTACAAATCCACATCTCTGCAGGACATCCACTAGCTGCTGTCTGCTCACGCCATTTCCCAGACCGCCATTGGACACGACCAGACTCTACAATAATGGAAAAGAAATGAAGGATTTCATAGAAAAGAATAACTTCTAACATTTTATTTGCTTAGGCTTGGTTGACACTGTATGCGATTTAAAATTGCACGGTTTGTTTGCAATTTCACCGTGTTTTCTGAAGATTTGTTTGCAACTTGTGAATATTTCCCAACGATTTCTTGCATTTTTCATTCCATTTTCTGGCGATTTCTTGCAATTTCCATGTCCTGCTACTTGTCAGAGGGGAAATCAGAGGGGATGTGGGGTAGGGCTGTATTAGTCACAGGGAGGAACAATGTGAGGGTCAGGTTTGAACAGGCAGAGATGGCAGGAAAAAACTAGGAAACGGTTAATAAACATTATCGCAAATCGCACATATTTAGACACACTTGCGTTTTGCAGTGTGATTTCTATTGTAGTCTATATGTGAAATCACAACAAATTGCAAAAAAAGTAATACAAGAACAACTTTTGAAATTGCGCTGCAGCAAATCGCATATGTTAAGACAATCACATTCACATTCAATAGATCTCATTTCAGGTATGATTTCAATTCCCAAATCGCACCTGAAATCGCAGCGGTGTGAACCAGGGCTAAGCCCCCGGTCACATCGGGTGCAATTTGGCATGCGATTTGCATGCCAGGTGACTTGCAAATCATGTGCCAAGTCTCACCCTATTGTGCACAATTACAGTGGTCAAATCGGAGCGGTTCCGACTTGGTCAGAGCTGCACCGATTTCTATAGTACATGCACTATTTTTTGTGTGATGTGTTGCAAGTGTTGCAAGTCGCACTTGAAATCATCATGTCCCCCAACTTTGAAAACGTGCGACTTCACTGTAAGTCGCACGATTTCAAAGTCGGGATTGATGTGACCGGGGTGTAAGGTTTGGTTCACACTGGATGCGATTTAAAATCGTGCGTTTTGTTTGCGATTTCACCGTGTTTTCTGAAGATTTCCCAACGATTTCTTGCATTTTCCAGTGCAATTTCCATTGTGGTCTATATGTGAAATCGCAACAAACTGCAGAAAAAGTAATACAAAAACTACTTTTGAAATCGCGCTGCAGCAAATCCCGTATGTTAAGACACTCACATTCATATTCATTAGATCCGATTTCAGGTACGATTTAAATTCCTAAATCGCACTTGAAATCGCAGCAGTGTGAACCAGCCCTCAAAGCAGAACTAAACCCATTGATTTAACCAGTTTAAAAAAGTTACATTCCCGCAACATGTCAAGAACTTAACTGTCACATTTGCTTGTGCTCTCAACCAAACTGTCAAACCATCAAATGGCTGGTGTCATAACTGATCACATGTGCAGTTGAGGATCAAAGAAAGGCTAAGGTGGTAGCTTCCCTGGTTGAAAACAATAGAAGGGTTTGTCCATTCAGGGCAAAATAACAGTGACCACAGACAGCCCACCCCCACCCTTAGGCATGAATACTTATTGAGCCATGGGTCTTTGCCACCTCCCTGAAATCCAAACAGAGAAGGGCTTCTGGGTGTGAAGGTGCATATGACCTTCCCCATGTGACAGTGTTCGGGCCACCCCTCTGTCTAAGCTTCGATACCTTACAGTAACTCAGACCTATTGAGATGTGGCAAAGCGGAGGCAGTGTGGAAACATAAACATGAATGGATTGGTGGGCTATCTGCATGCACTGTCAATAAGGCTCGGTTTACACTGCTGCGACCCCAAAGTTGTGCAACTTCCAATGTGTCTTTGCATTGTGACTTTCATGCACCTTTGGCCAATCATAACAATACAGAGGGGGATATTTACTACCACTGGTGCATACAGAATCTGGTGCAGCTGTGCACAGAAACCAGCTTCCAGGTTTACTTGTCAAAGCTTAGCTGAAAAAGCTGAGTTAGAAGCTCAATGGTCCTACTGTATGTACAGCTGCACCAGACTCTGTGTTCAACAGTTTTAGTAAATCTCCCCCAGAGTGTGACACGATTCCTTTTCCTTCTACACTGATATCCTTTTCCTTTTTACTTCCTTCTTTCCTTATGTTGTATGGTGCTTAGCAGTCACCTTGTCTAGGTGGACAATGTGCTTTGGGAGGTGACAATGCTTGGGAGGAGATTTTGGGCAACAGAGATGGGCTGGGCCACAGGTATACAGCAGACAATGGACTAGGAGTGGAGTATAAAGTTAAAAAAAATCCTCAGATCATGTCACAGCCAAAGTTGCATTGATAAGATATGACTTCCTTGCGACTTTTGAGATTTTAATATTGCAGTCTAGGGCGCTCCAGTCACACCAAAGATGCAGCAAAGTAGTGCAGGAACTTTTTTTAGTTGCAGCAATTAAGACAGCACCCATTGAAATGAATGTGTTTTGACTTGTCACACGACTTTCTGTGTCACAAGTCAAAGCAGTGTGAACTAAAGGTACATTCCAGTCTAACATAAGAAGGCTACACAATGAGTTGATGAAATAAAGGCAGCAGCCCTTCCATTCTCTGGAACTTTAACCTCTTCTCTTTCCAGGCTAATTGAGGCCATCTATTACCTTTCTAAAATTCTTCATTAAACCCATCATCTTTTTTTCCCTAAAGTTCGATTTCCAAGAAAAGCATTGTAATGGAAGTCACTTTGGGTGGGGGGCCCATGAAACACAGCCCCCTTTGGAGAAGTGGGGAGACCCCTGTCTCAGCTCCCCATATCCCTATTATGTGTAAGTCACCCTGTGCCTGTTAGGGGTACAGGGTGGAATGTTATAATATTGGGGTGGGGGGGAGGTGTTCATTGTTCACTGCCATGCGGCTCCATCCCATTGTTCCATTGTGTGTCTTGCTTGGGAGCAAACTATTATGGGATGTATGGGTTTGTGTACGGTCTACTGCCAAGTGGTGTATCCCATTGTTCTATTGTGTGTCTTGCTTGGGAGCAAACTATTATGGGATATATTTGTTTGTACTGGCTTGGTGGGGGGTGTTTCCGGCAGCCCTTCCCCCTGATGGGACGGCCTGCTGATGTGTTTCCTGTACTGAGTGTGTATTTCCCTGCCCTGTGTATATATCTTGTATCTGTAAAAATAAAGCAGTCCATTTCCTCTTTTAATACGAGTCTGGTGCTGTCTCGTCTTGTATGGTCAGCGGTGGTGTCCGTGGATCTGTGTTCAGACAGGGAAGCGGGAGTCTAACGGAAATACCCTAGTGCAGTCGGGGTCCGGTTCCGTTACAAGCATATCTGTATTTTATTTGTGAACACAGGAAAATATTTCCCTACAAGTCCCTGACCCTTAAAACATAACTGAACAGATTTTTTTTTTATTTGGCTAGAGCAGGGAAAGGTTGGGACCACTGGTTTTTATTGCTGTCTGTCTGTTAGGGAGGTTCACTCGCACTAGCTGTGCAATGTCACCAGGAATGACAGTGAGGGTAAATCCAAAATGTTGAGTTGCCCACCAGAATAGGAATACAAAATTCTTCCGCTTAAAGGAGGCACCTGTTCCACTGACAGTTGTCTAAAGGGGGAATTTCCCTCAGACTGAAAGGATATCCTCTCACTTCCTAAGGAGTCTACATGACAGAAACTGATGACAATCTCTCTAATAAAAGACACAGATGGAAAAAAACTGGACCAGCTTTACCCTCCAATGCAAAATAATAAAAAATAAAAACAATGTTGTAATATATTGCAGCTTACCAATCATTAGATGTGATGGCTGCATTACCTTTCCTTTGTTAGGCTTTTTCCCCACTGGTTTCACCTGGTGATCTGATCAGTAACACACTTCTTGTATTAGAGTGTCTCCACTCTAGAAGGAGAAAAGAGACACCTTTGGACAGCAACATTGTCAGTCTGGGTGAGAGTGTTAGATGGGCTAGCAGATTTAAAGCGGTAGTAAACCGCAACTTGGAAAACAAAAATTAAAAAATCCTGAAAGGTAATGTCATAAAGTACTAGTATGCATCGCATACTAGCGAATTATGAAAGACTTACCTTAAAACTAAGCCCTCCAGTGGCACGCTGTCACCGCTGACAGTGCTTCCATCTTCCTTTTCGGTTTGCGAGCTCCAGCTGTCTGACTGGCCGAATGATGATGTCACTCCAGCGCATCTGTTTGGGAGTCAAAGGCCATGGCACAGTGCTCTGAAGGAGCTGCACGGGTATGCCGTTCCCTCAGAGCGCATGCGCCGGCTGTCATAAAGAGCGAATATCTCCTAAACAATGCACATTTAGGAAATATTCATTTTACTTAAAGGTAAGCTTTATTATAAGCTTACCTGTAGGTAAAAGATACAAAAGTGGGTTTACTTCCACTTTAAATACAATAACAAATTGAAGTTCAAACTCCAGCTAGTACTTTATAGGCAGTTACAGCAAAGTGTTTTTTTTTTTCCTTTTGGGATAAATCTTGATCTTTTGAGATAATGATTTTAAATAAATAAAAGCTGACAATTTTAAGCACCCGTCAGTGATGGTTTGTCTCAACTTTATAACTGCTACATCTGCAGGACAACTTGTTTTGTTGAAAAACAACAGACTTACTGGCTTACTATTTTCAGCTGGTAAGTCTGGCTGACAGACTTAGCAGGTGGAAATTAAGATAAGAAAGCCTAAAAAAGAAATTTAATGCAGTCATCACATCCAAGAATTGGTAAGTTGCAATATAATAAATGTCTACTTTTGGGTTTAATTCTACTTTAATATCTAATATTACACTTGCCGACCGTGCTATAGCTGAAAGACGGCTACAGCATGGTTGCCCAGTTCTGGGAGGGCGTTCATCCACAACCCCGTACGACCCCCCCCCCATCCATCAGGTGCACCCTGATCACAGGCCGGGGTAAAGGGCAAATCACAGCTACCCTCTTCCATGTAACCAGCTGTGTCCAATCTCAGCTGATCACATGTAAACTTACTGGGTATCAGCAGTCCTTTCCTCACACGCTCTGTCTGTATGAGGAAAGGAGAGCTGATAACCGTCAAGGCTGTCAGAACTTTGTTTACACCGATCATCAGAGCCATGAGTATCAGTGAAGCCCCATCAGTGCCAATTAGTGCACATCAGTGAAGAAGAGAAATTACTTCTTTGCAAAATGTTATAACAGAAACTAAGAAAAACATTTTTTTAGTAAAAGAAAAAAACCCAGTATTGAATAAATACCAACAAAGGAAAGCTCTGTTTCAAAAAAACATGATACAAGTTTCATTTGGGTACAGCGCTGAAAGCTGAAAATTGGCCTGGGCAGGACAATTGGAAGCCATTTTATTTGTGGAATACCTTGGAAGGATGGGAGACAGTCTCTATGCCTTCATGTTTCAGAAGAACATTCTTGGCCTTTGCTTGCTTTCTAAACTGCTTCTTCTCCTCTTTGTTGAGTTTTGGTCTTGAGTTAATCATATGCTCCAAGCTTTGTTCTGATGGTGAAGACTGAAAAAGAGAAAATAAAGGTATGTAATCAAACGGGGCAATCACTAGTGTGTTCAGACTCATTTATTATAGCAAAGTACTATATGTGTAGCACAAGAAAACCCCACAGAAACCAATCATCAGCCAGTTTTACTTGTTTGAAGTCTCTATGCTGAAAGCTAGTTTGTGGACTAGGTTAGTACAGTCTGCAACACTTTACTGAATATATCAACATGTAAGAAACTGACGATATTATCCAGAGCACTGAGGTTGAAGCAGGACTCTATAGTCTGTATTTTGCTTTTGGTTGCTTCTCTGAGTGCTGCAGGATTCCCCATTGCAGTCAGTGGGGCAGCAGTACAAAGCTGGAGGCTGGTGGGGAAACTTCTTGGAGCTAGATGTAAATTTTAGCACTTTTTTGCACACTTCGCTCCCTGATAGTCAATAACGTGACCCTGACCCCAATTGTCAAAAAGATTTGGCTGCAAAAGAAGACTAAATATGTCCAATAGCCCACCTTGCCAAACACTGATCTTTTAAAATCTGCGCTTCAGGTTGTACAGAATCAGATCTCTTATTACCCCGTGTCCAGTATTTCCTCCTGCTGACCAGGGATCCAGCTCCTGACCAGTTCTGGGATCCTCCCAGAAAAATTAAAAGTCAGCAGCTACGGAAACTTACCTGTCTAGGGGTCCAGCGCTGTCCTCACCAACTACTGACCCGAACACCCCACTGACAAACCACCCCATCCCGCAAGTAATTGACCCCTACTGACAATCCCCCATCCCCCAACTACAGTCCACTCCCCCCACCCCAACAACTACTGACTACCACCCACAGGCCCCTCCCCAACCCACAAACTACTGACCCCCAATGCTCCCCCCCTCTGAAAGACCACCACCCCCAACTACTGCCCCCTTCTGCCATTAACAGCCCCCTTCCAAACTACCACCCTACACTGACAGGCTTACACTGCCAAAAATTCCACCCCTCAAATGTCACCGCTCGGCTGTCAAGGTGACCAAGTTTGTGTCGTGCCCGTGTCCCTGCTGATCATCCAGCATGTTAGGAGTTACGTGGTCGTGCCTGTGTCCTGATCAGCTTGTAGCATGTATGGAGTTACTTGTATCCTGATTGGCTTAGCTCAATGCTGGGCTTCTTGTGTCGGAATCTGGCGCACGCACAGTTCATACAAGGGATAACAATCGTCACAGGATAGATATCTACACCCGCATAGCAAGTAAGGGAAACCGGAAGTGAAGCTTTGGGGCTTCACAGCTGGTTTCTTACTGCACATGCATGAGTCGCGCTGCACTTTGTGAATGCTTCCATAGTTTTCTGGGGGGGGCCCATTCGGTTTAGTTAGCCGTGGCACATCTGACTGGAAGTGGGAGCAGGTACCTGTCATAACTAGGTACCTGCTCCAACCTACCCCCCAAAAAGTGCCAAATGTGGCAGTGGAGGGTGCAAACAAGCAAAGCTAGCCCTTTTGGGTGGAGCTCCACTTTAACTATTAAGCAAAATAAGCACATGTTAAGGGCACCAGGGAGTCTGTCCCCAGTCAATCAAGCATTTAAATTATAAGTGCACTTTAAAGGTGACCATACACTAGGTGAACTTTGGTCAGAATTTTTTTGTTTTAAGAACGTTGGTTCGATTTTTACAATCATTAATGGGGTTAAAGCGATGTTCATTTTTTACCATAATGATGAGAAAATTTTGAAGGAACATGATGGAAAATGTTTCTGGAATGAAAAAATGTCTAAACAGTGAATGTAGTTTTGGTTGGAAAATTACATTAATTCCAAAATCAAATGTTAAAATTCTGAAGTACTTTCAAATTATATTTGTCAAGGCATTGAATATACTGAGAATTGTCGGACAAATGTATGTACACAGTGTATGGTCAGCGTTAACTCTTTCGCTGCCAGGTCCACACGTTGTATAGACCTGACAGCCGAGGGTTTTACACACAATTCCGGTAGCTGCAGCTGTCAGGATTATGTGAAAGTGCCAAAGTACTCTCATAACACCCCTCCCCCCCAGCTCCCACCATATATCCCAGGCTCTGCTTGCCCATCTGCAGACCCGGGAGCGGCATAGCGGGTGCCACCAGGTAGAGGGGAGGAAACTGAGTGGACACATTTCACTCTCCTCCCTTTCTTGTTGGTGACCTAGAAGCAACATGGATCACTTCTGGGTCCCCCTGTCAGTTTCTCAGGCCAGCATAGCCAGGAAAGAATGTATTGCAATGCAATCTGCATTTTATTACATTCAGTGGAGCACGAGAGACATCCAGGGTCTTTTAGACCCAAGATGTTTCATTAAAGAGAAAGATGTTTCATTAAAGAGTCACCAAAGAATCATCACATAGGGGACTTTTTGTTCTTGTGCAATGAAAAAAGAAAAAAGTTTAAAATTATTTTTAAATTGTAAAAAATTAAAGTCACACCCAAGTACATAAAATACCCCAAAAATATTTGAGGCCCCCCACCTCCACATATATGCATGTACGAACGTAAATGCATATATATATATGACTATGCATGAGAATGTTGATTGCGATGCACAGGTTACATATCACAGGGTTCTGAAGTGTGTTATGTACAAAGTGCAGTGTTAAGTGGTTTGCAATGTACAGAGTGCAGGGTTCAGGAAAGCGCTATGTACAGAGTGCAGGGTTAAGGGATGTGCTACAGAGTGCAGCATTTAGGGGTGCGCTACACACAGAGTGCAGGGTTCAGGAGTGTGTTACATACAGAGTGCAAAGTTCAGGGGTGTGCATGGAGATCATTCTTGCTCTCAGATTCTGGTGATCTGTCCCCGTCGTGAGTGCATGCAGGGATCTGTTAAAAGACTTCTGTGTTTACAAGCAAAAGCTGGGAGTAGAGGGTGAGAGCCGAAAGTGGTGGAATATAGTTCCCGCTGCAAAACTGGGTGCGAGGGCCACATGGCTCTGATCTACATATGTGCTCTAGGGTATCTGCTTTCAGAAAAGAATATAAAGCTTTGGGAGTTTTATACAATCTTCAGGCCTAAATTGATTTTTTTTTTTTTTTTTAAACGTGTGCATGCAAAAACAGCTCTGGCAGTGAAAGGGTTAAACAAAATGCAAATCTCCCCCCCCCCCCCCTTTTTGCCCAGAGCTCATCATTCCCCTCCAGAGATGTATGCTTACTTTTACGCTTACTAAAAACGTTTTCTGAGGCCATGGTTTATTTACCTCCTGCACCGCAATACCTCACTGGCCCCCTACAGATTTCAGTGTAATTGTCTACCTATGTCTCCCAGCTGGGTGCATACAATAAAAAAAATGATTAATTAATAAAATAAATTATTTTCAATTATTTTTTTATTAAAGAAGTGATTTCCCTCATAATTTCTAAATAAAAGGCCCCAGTCATTTGGTTGTAATTAATGCCCAATCTGCTACACAAATAAAATGAAAACATTTTTATTTAATATACGAGAGGTGTTCAAGTCAAACCAGGACTTTTAAATTTATATAATAAAAGAACAAATTTCAAGGAGAGGAAACTGCATTTATTTTTCAAAATACTCCCCTGCTACATTTATGCACTTATCCCAGAGTTTAACTAGTGCCTGTAAAGCTTTGGCATAGAAAGATTTGTCAGTACGCCTGAACCATCGAAGGACAGCTTGTTTCACTTCGTCATCAGTGCTGAAATGTTGACCTCGTTTCTTGTGCAATTTCACAACAGGTTATGTGTCGATTATCCAGGATCAGACGTTCCACTGGCTGAATGTGAACAGGAAGGACTTCTGTGGTCTGGGAACCATCACGGCCGAGATCGTCACTGACAGACGTACAGCCATCTTTGAAATGTTTACACCATTCAAATGTCTTACTGCAGCTGAGTGTCTCATCACTGTACTGTGCTTCAAGTCTTCTGTAGATATCCACGAGTTTTACACCTTTGCTCATGAGAAACTTCATCCCCACACGCAAGAACTCTGCTATCTGCCATCTTGATTATTGGTCTCTAGACTGGCCCGTGACATGTGCACCGTCTATCAGTAATAGGACATACTTGCCACTTACTACTACATGCAGCACAATATCATCCCTTTTTATACCAGTAAAATTAAAAGTCCCAGTTTTGTTGTGGATTCTGGCCTGGGACAGATCTGGAAGAAAGTTTTATATATTTAGAATTTCTTATTTCACAGCTCTTGTTGAAACTTAAAGCAGAGTTCCACCCAAAAGTGGAAGCTCCGCTTGTTTGCCTCCTCTGCCATATTTGTCACTTTTTTGGGGGGGAGCGGATACCTGGTTCTGACCACCGGCACCTCTGGTTCCTCCCCCATTCTGAATGCCCCCATTGCAAGCAATGTGAGTGGACTGCATATACTTTAAGTCCATCTGCTGCAGGTTCCTGTGAATGAATAATGTGGCTGTGCGCCACTTTCAAAATGTGACAGCAAGTACAGGGAGAGGAACCCTGCAGGGTTGTCCTGGAAGCCTCCAAAATTGATTAAGGAATGACCTCAGAACATCCCACAATGCAGTGCAGGTTTCTCAAAAAGGTATGGAAATTCTGCAGTATGCATCAGAGAAATCCCAGGATATCGTGCAGCAAGTTTGGAAAGTTATCTGTATCAACTGGCACCAAGCCAGGGTTACTTTGCTCAGGGAACATTTATGTAATTTTTTAACGTTTTTTCTTATCAGGGTTAAAAAGGACAATTATTTTATCTATTTTTACATTTGATATACTGAATATTAATCTGGTATAGTATTCTATTTAAGCAGGCAAAGCACTATATTCCTTCTCACATGAAGCAATATCATTATGAGCTGGAAGAAGCCTGTTTACAGGAAACCCTAATCAGAGCAATAACTTACCCATATCAGATGGATTAAGACGGCCATACACTAGTAGATTTGTGAACAAACATTTGTGCGGAATTCTAGACTTGATGAATGTTATTGAAAATTGCTTTCAAAAGTCAATTTTGGAACGAATGGACTTGACTGAACAAAAACTATACACACTGTTAGAAATTCAGCC